TGATAGGAAGATAATAAAACAACATTGGCTTATCATGTATATTCAGTTTATCAAAGCATTGCCTTAACGAGTTCTGATTGTATGTTTTATTCGTTTTATTCGTTTTATTTGTTTTATTTGTTTTATTTGTTTTTAATCGTTTTATTCATTTTATTTGTTTTATTCATTTTTATTCATTTTATTTGTTTTATTTGTTTTTATTTGTTTTATTCGTTTTTATTTGTTTTATTTGTTTTATTTGTTTTATTTGTTTTATTTGTTTTATTAATTAGTTATTCGTTTTATAAATTAATTATTTGTTTTATTAACTAATTATTTGTTTTATTTGTTTTATTTGTTTTATTTGCTTTTATTCGTTTTATTTGCTTTATTTGCTTTTATTCATTTTATTTGTTTTATTCAAATAAACATTTGAATAGAAAACCCTAACTGCTATTCAAGATTATGTTAATATTTTAGCACAAAGAGCTTTAGAAATAATTTAATTACAATATAAAAGAGTTAACATCAGTTTATTAAATAATTAACTAAAAAATAGGGTTAATTATAAAAGAATATCTGATAAGTATTGGCACTTTCAGTATTTACTAATAGGCTTTTAGACTATATGATAAAAATACTAAGAATATTATTAACTTATCAGTATGCTAATACCAAAATTATCTTTTTAAAGAATAATCAGATTCTGATATTTGCTAATACCCCATTACCCAATTTGGCATCATTTGACCAGTAAAGAGAGAACCAATAGATTATATATAAGCAAAGAAAGATGAGAATTTTAAATCATGCACAAACATAACAGCTTGATAGCTTGATCGACATAGTGATGCAGCTGTGCAATTTTTTTATTGTATATTTTAAATATAATTGATCATGTTTTTAACTAAACAAACATGACTTGGCTATTTAATCATTTCCTTCATTTCCTTGCATGTGAATGCTTCCATCCATCAAATATTCATGATGGTTATTGAATACATTTGATATCATCATTGACATAACAAACAATTGCATCACCCAGGTAGTAACAATACCAAGGCTATGAATAAATGAAACTTTAATAATGCATGTCTACCCAGAACTCTGGGGTTCACAAAATAAATTGATTTTCCTGATTATTAATTATGGTTCCTTATGAATAATAAATCTGATGTTGATCATAGGTGTCAGATTTAATTAAATTTTCCTATCACAAACATGCAATGCAGTGCTCTTAACACGCCAATAACCATGGAATTTTTTTTCCACAGAGAGGTTTCACACATGTGGAAGGCTTTGGACAAAACTTTCCCTATCTTCCTTTCAGACCAGGCTTGGCTGTTACCATATGGGCATTGATCACTAATAGTTGGCATTTGTGTGATGATTGCTATGAGTTATTGCCATACTAGCATAAAAGTTGGCACCTGCAAGTTCTGCAACTCAGAAGGTTGCAACCTGGGTTGCTGTTTTGCATTCTCTCTGAATTTGGAGTTTTTGAGTCCTGGGTTGTTGTAATTTTTATGAAAAGAAAAGTATTAGTATTTAACAATTAATTATTTAAATGTTTATTTTGTTGAAAAAAATATA